GCGAAACTTGGTTAGAAATATATAATTTGAGTCAAATTCCTTGTTACCGTTTGTATACAGTTAAATCTTTTTGCACTAACGCCAGGTTTATTTTTTTCATTAATAAGGACTTTAAATAAAACGCTAGATGAAATGCATAATTTCATTAAGATTTATTGATTTTTATTGATATTTCTTCGAAGATTTTTATTTTTTGGCATACATTTCGTTTGCAAGTCGAACATTGAATTGCATAATTACATAATTCTGAGTTGTTAAAAATGCATAGCACTACAGTTTAGTAAAAAACKATCAATTTAAAATGAAAACTTGCACATTTCATACTGATTACTGTTGAATCGAATCTCATTGTACAATTACTGACGATTTAAAGTATTACAATAAGTACTTAGGTGATCATTAATTTCATGAACAATAAATGCAGTACAGTCGACGAGGATTTTTAACGTTTTTTTTTTTATTTAAATGGCGTTTGTATAATTTTTAAAAGCAGCAAATAGTAAGTAATGTTTTTATCACATAATTATTTAGTTTTCAATACTTAATTCGCACTCAAGTTATCTTAATTACACTTAAATCTATATTTTTGTTGAAAATAAATGCTTTTGTTCGCTTGTGTATGTGTATATACAAATATATGATTTCTATTATAATATAATGCAGTTGCATTACGTATATATATATATTTATATATATTTAAGTTCATCAAGTTGCGGATAATATGCCACTTAATTAAATGAATATATATTTATATTTTGTCACTCACTTTAATCTTTCGATTTGTATCGAAATCGTTTGARAAAGTTTATATTGCACAGTAAATTAATAAAATTGCGTCGTTTAAGAAAAAGTTACTTAGCATTTAAATTAATAGGCGCAGAAGACCACATGTTAGATTATCAAAAAGCAATTCGGTTTCTTAGCCGCATCTTCTGGTATATATAGTTTTAAATAGGTATATATCGCATTATTTTCTAAGATATTAAGTAAAAAAATTTATGATAATTTATTAGAAATTTGAAATACGCCCAGACGAGGTAACACAAGGTTAAGTAAATAGGCTGGCTACACTCGAGGCTACGTATAAAAGAGCAAGTCGATTTTTCTCTATAAATTCGCGTATGTGAGAAGTGTTCCAGAAATCATTCTGAACAACTTTGCTTAAGGGATGTAACCCTTTTTTCGGTTTCAGGTTTCAACAATTTTTTAATTGCCTTATTAAATTCTACACCTCTAGAATGTTCTCCTAAATTTTAAAGTTGATCTAAGTAATCATTTCGGAGGTACAGCCTTGAGAACTTGTGCGCTCGAGGCTAGCTAGGCTAAGTGCGGTGTCTTTAAACTGTGTTTTTACTCAACCCACCTTCTTGAGATTTTCACTGAAATTTAAATTTTTTTTATAAAAATGTCTGCCAAAAATCCAATTTTTAGTTGTTTTCCTCCGTCCAAGTTCTAAGTTAAGGTTTTAATTAAAACAAGTATTTTTTCACTTTAGATGATCCTGAATAGTGTATGTTTGTAACAATAAAAAATTCTAATCAAATATTTCATTTTTTATATGAGAAAAACAAATTTTGAAAAAGACTGTTTTTTACCCGAGAAAACCCATGTAATCCCTTAAGAGGCTATAGGTATAAAACCAGTTTCGAGCCAGCCATTTTTAAGAAGAAATTTCAAAAATATGAATAGGCGGTTATATGAGAGTAATGTGGTTTATCTCTCCGATGTGACCTATTCTTTCAAATGATCAATAGAATGCACCTACGTATTAGATTTCAATCGGATATCTCAAAAACTGACTAACGAATTTTTATGATCCTTAAAAATGTTATACAGAATGATCCGTAGAACATTTCTCACATATTCGATTCAATTTTTTTAACTTCTTGACTAGCTCTAACRTATAATACCATACATCATCAGTGTTAAAAATAGATTAATGAAAATTTTCCGTCMAGAGAAAAAAAATTAAGCTTTTGGTTTAGAAAGCAATATTTGATCTAATATGTCGTATAAGAAAGAACGCGGAAAGCGGTTGACCAACCAATGGATTGTAGGCGAATTGGATAGAGCAAAAATTACTGATAATAAAGAATCAAATTTAAACCTTCAACTCCAAAGTTWATAAGCCGGCAACAATAAAGCCCAAAGCACTTGTTAAAACAAAATGTGGAGTATTCCAATCAAAGTACAATATTATAGAACGTACGAGTATAAAAGTGATAACATGTAGGTAGAAGTTGTTTGGGAAATATTATACATTTTATCTTTTTGGCTTTACGAGGCTTATGAGCTCTCCAAACGAAGTAAATTCGATATATTTTACGATTGTGAATAGATTGCCTATTGTATACATATTAGATTACCTGATGTAATTGTAACAGTGTATTTAAAGCCTGTTTGGAGAGGAATGTCAATCAATTGTCAACGAGATTTTTTAACGGTTGGGCCAAGGAACGTGTTGCATCAATCAGATGAGACCACAGGTAGACAGGTATTAGGGGAGTTGGTTTCGTAGGACATAAAAAGGAGTAGTTAGTGTGAGACATGAACTCTTTGATGAATAACAAAAGTTCAATATGTCGGGATTTTTCATGTCATGTCATGGTCATAAGTTCATTAAATCTGAGTTTTTTGTGGAAATGTAGAGTTTAAGCTAGAGCTGTCTCCAAAACGTAGTTATGTGAGGGTCACACTGAGTTTGCGGAGCCACTCGTGCACATGTTTTGCTCTGGGTGTTGGTTTGACTCTAAGAACTCCAATAAACGGAAGGTAATCGATGAAAGTGTTGATCATATTAATATTGCCTAGCAAGCTCCCACAAACGTCGGTTTGTTTTTTCCACAGCTGCTGACGACTAACGATTTGAGGTTCGCTTTACGATTCTGTATAGTGATTTTTTTCTAATTCTGTTCAAATTGACGTTGAAAGACATCACGGCTCACAATATTATTGAAAATCATTCACGAAGAGCAAAGAATGTCTTTCACGCGGTTCGCTCAATTCTTGCACAACGTAATCGGCCTACTGAGCGTACTATCTATCATGGACTTATAGAGAGAACACTTCCGTGAACAGATAATATCACGTTTTGTGTCGGTTAATTGGCCACCAAGATCGTGTGATATCACATCGTTAGATTTTTTCCTGTGCGTCTAAAGTCTATGCGGACAATCTCGTTCCAATTCAAGCTTTGAAGAAAAACATTACACGTGTCATTCGCCAGTTACTAGTTGAAATGCTCTAGAGTAAATTGGACTCAATGGATGTACCATCTGAGACGTAGCCGCGGTAAACATTTGAAAGAGATAATCTTCAAAAAATAAGTGTTAAAAAATGTTCTTGCGAATGATACTAAATATTCCCCATTAAATTTGAAGTYTCCGTGTATTTTCCTTTAAAAAAGTAGGGAGCTTCGTAATGGACCACCCTTTAGTTGCCCACTTTTGGTTATCATAACAAGCACTGATTACCGATTTACGATTTATGTAAGAATCTAAGTCTCTACTGTCTAGTCTTTTATGTTTAACCTAACTAAATGATACATTTGTAATATTTTTATATATATAGTGATTTAGAAAAATTAACTACCTCATAGAAGTCTTATTATATGTCACAATACCTAAATACGTTCGGAAGTTAAAGTCTAAGAAATTTGGTTTACACTCTTGCTATAACAATAAGCGATTCTACAATGTAGGATGTATAATATGATACTAAGCTCTCCCTTATCCATTCTTATATCCAAATTTCTTTAATATCTGTATTTTTGTTTTTATGGTGTATTTCGAAAATGTGCGGCAAATGTGTGCATTAAAAATTATTTTGTACACTATGTATTATGTAAACTATATTAAACAAATAGTTCATTAAATCTTTCAGTACTTTAATAGTGTACTACATTTCCAAAATATTACGTTTGTTTCTATTATCACCTGATAAAAGGCCGAATCACCACTTCGTTCACTTTCTAGCCAAAAAATAGAAACAAATTACGATTCTCTTGCTTCTACAATAATCAAGTATCTTATATCACTATCCTTTCGACGGTTTGTGTTCACTATTGAGTTGTAAATACATACACTTATACATTTGTTTATGTACTACGTAGGCATATTCTCCTTTTTGCAATCTTTGGGCGCTTAGAGCGATAGCTCTTCTGTTGAGGTATTTACATGCACACGTGGCACATCGTGGGCCGGTTGTATATCCATTAGTATGACGACCTCATACGGACTACAGTCGGAGAGATGTAGAAATGAGCATAACCAACCGTAGAAACCCTTCTCAATATCGGCTACCTCATTTAACCAACTATTGAGCTGCAAACTCAATTGTGCGATGCCCGAATAGAGGCCTAGACCCAGTGTACATACGAGTATGCCAACGGGATAGGCGAGTATTAATATAGGTGACATAAARAATTTATATATACACGATTTCTCCTCATTGAAGTAGTTGAACATATTATACCAAGTTAATGTGCCGATGTAAAATGAATAAATGCTTGAGATTATAGTTATAAATGGAAGACATATTAACGACAGTATTAGGATATGTAAACCAGTTTTCGGTGTGCAGGTGCAACATAAGTTTTGCTTCTTATTCACTTGTGTGGCGGCCGCAACTGCATTGATCTGCTCCAATTCCTCACGACTGATATTGATTTGCAAATCGACGCTTTGACCTTTTTTGCGGCCACGTTTAATTGTACCTGAGTTAGAGAGATGAAAGAGCAGAGAAGAGAGAGGAGAGACTGTTAGCATCCTAGCTAGTTTTAGAAATATTTAGGGATGAAGATGTAAATGTTTTTTTTTTTTTTTTTTTTTTTTTTTTTTTTTTTTTTTTTTTGGTATAGTATTAACTTTTTCTTAGAACATGTTTTATTTCTAAAGTGATAATGAATAAATTTGCTGACAAAACCAAAGAACAAGATTTTACGTAAATGAAGCAGAGATCAATTGAATCGAAAGGGTAGATCTAATTAAAGATATCTTCTTAGTCTCCTACATTATTGTCTTTTATCCAGCAGYTGGATCGCAAGTACGTWATCAACGAGAGRGTACCGCATACTAAATATAATATTTCAAAAGTTTCTTTTACAGTGGGCATTTTTAAGTCTGGGTATATGATATCATTTCTAACACAATAATGCGTAGAACTTTATTTTGAAAGTCTTTAAAAACTTTAAATTTGGAATCAGCTGAGCATTCCTAGATTTGAATTCCAAATGACCAAATCGGGCTGAGTATTGACTTATATACTACCATGAGCAAAAAATAGTAAGACTATGTTCATAATTTCAAAATTCTTAATTTATTTTACAAAATCTAAGTCGTGCCTTCAAAGTAATCTCTCTTGGCCCCAATACACTTTGGCCAACGTTTTCTCCAATCCTTGAAACAGTTGTTAAAGTCAATTTCCAGAACAGACTTCAATGCGCGTAGCGATTCACTTTTAATGGATTGAGTTGACTCAAAACGGTTTCCTCGAAGCGATTGTTGTTGTTGTTGTTGTTGTAACGGCAGAGTTCTGCCGAGTTGACAGTCCTTGGCCGGATAAAAATCCGGGTCCGTTCCGGTTTCCGTAGATCCGACTGTCGTGGGAACGGCCTCGAAGCGATTGTTTAGGTTTGCTGTATAGGCAGAAGTCACAAGGGGCTAAGTCAGACGATTGTGACTAATTTGTTTAAGCTAATTAATTTCCAGACGACTTTGCTATGTAATGTATGAAACAACAGCACAATAAAAATTTACGTTTATTGAGATTGTACTTAAAAAAAATATATGTATAGTGTAAAAGCTGTAACCTCGAAGACAAAGGCTAAAAAAGGAATTTGACACGCATAAAATATGAGGTTTAGACTGCTTTTGAGCGCAATGTAGTGAAATCTGGACAAAACAATTAGATCTAACAATAGATCTGTGCTACTTGGGCAATAACTCTTTCGACCAATGATGCAAAAATTTAAAGTGAGTAGTTTAGCCGCTCTCTCTTACAACTTACCTGTCATAGTCAGATAGTTACTATCCATTGACCTTCTCGTATTATACCGTTCCAAACTATGCATATCAACATTCAAAACGCTCGTTTCACCTGATTCCAGATCTTCATAGTTGGTTATTTCCGGCGATTCCCGCTGACTGCGTATATGCGACGGATCGGTGCGTATATTTACACGTTTCTTCGACGAAGAGCGATTACTAAGACAATCGTGTGATTTTGCATCCAAACTACTCTCTGAGTAACTGCTTGGCGTAACTGTGCTGCTTTCATGGCGATTTGTCGATTTTGTGCCYTGTGAAACGCTTTCGAAATTCTGTAATTCATTATCATCCTCATAAATATTATCCACAGATTGTGAAGACTTGTGTGTCGACTGGTCATCGACAGCGTCTCCATTGCTTTGTGCTCCTGGTATTTGTGGCAGTGGTTGTTTGTTTTTCARTATCAATGATGTTTTAAGTAAGTCCTCATCAAGTGCCGGGTTAGATGGTGAGAGTTTCTGTCGATTCTGGAAGTTGAAGAGAAAATATACAAAAGGTTTGTTAAAAATAAAATCGTTATTATACTATATATGTATATTTGGTGTGTTTTATGCAAATAATCTCGAATGTCGATTATTAACAGCTATGTTTAGGTCAAATTGTGAATGTACTAAAGTAAGAAGGTGTTCATTTGTCCCAAACGCCGTTATCGGACTAAGTTATAGCTGTCATACAAATTGGCCGTTCCAACTAAAGTTCCGTTATGCAAAATGTTTTTATTTGAGTAAGTGTCTATTTGAAAATTATTGTTAATTTTATTTAAAATTATTGTTAAAAAAAACAACGCTATAACCTTTGAACCTCAGATAGCGTTTTTATAGCATACAGCTGCCATACAAACTGTCTGATCGAAATCTGGTAAATTTGTTTTATTTGACAAAATATAATCATGAAATTTGTCACAGATTATTATCCAAGGCAACCGTATAATATCGATATATTTTTTCGGATTGGACTACTAAAGCATATATGTATGTAGCTACCATACAAACTGGCCGATCCAAGCGTTAGCGATTCCTACGACATCCGACCCGCTCATTGCCGGCTAAAAACGATTTAACCTCATACGCTGAAATCGCCTTTAGTGCCGCTTGACAGTTGCTAAGTATGGCGATACGCTGGTTGCGATCGTTGCGGAAGAGATTGAGTTCTGCACATTGACTAATAGCAAATACCTCTGCTTGAAAGATGCTCGTCAATGTACGATTGGATAGTGCTGCCTTTCAGCAGTATGTCGAGCGTGGCGTCATTCCACTCTGCCTTACTGCCRACAGTAACTCCAAAATTCTTTGCAAAGTTAATYCTCTTTGTAACGCCGAGATCAACAAAGGAAGGGGTCCTTAGGAGGTCAAACAGGCAACATAACTCCCATTCTGAACCTCCTCTATCCGTACATACACATTTTATGGTATTCTAAATCCCAACTTAAAAATCTTAGCTCSACTGTCGAAAACGTGCTTAGTTTTGTTACTGTAATTTAAAGTATAGCATTCATAATCCAACCACACATTAAGCTGTACTTGAAGTGTGTAAACTCTCTTTGTCTGCAACAAAAGCAAAAGTCGAGCTGAAAATGCACTTTACAATATCGCAGTCGATGCCTGTAAACTACTTTTACCCTACTTTCACGTTTGCGTCAGTATTGCTTCACATACACACACACACACACACACACACACACACACACACACACGCACACACACACACACATGGAAGCGAAAAAAGTCACAGAAAGTTAAGAAAAAATTTAAATTTTCACTATAAAGTGACGGCCAACTTTATTTGAAAATATTTTTGTATATGTAATAAAATCTTACTTGTACATTAACTATGTGGTCCACATAGTTTTGTGCGCCATTCACTTTTTTCGATGTCTGTCGCTTTCGTGGTGGAATAAAAACTGGGCGTTCCTCGCCGCTAACTGCACTTTTACTAACCATTATCGCTTAATACACAATTCTACTTAAGCTCTTCCGCGCAAATTATTAATTAATTATGAAAATGGGCTTCCCAATATTAATTTAGAAATATAATATAATATTAAACAACTTTTTTCTATATTTTATAACAACCCTTCCTTTTCAAATTTGAATATTTTCCACACATTTCATTAATTATTTGTCGAACCGTAAGTATTTTCAATTAATTATTAAATACATTTGCAATCATCACTTAAAGATTTAACACACACAAATTCTTTATATCCGTTTTGGTATATTTTAACTGCATGCCAACTGTCGCAGGAACTAAAGTGAAAGAATAGACCACTTGCACTTGCCAAATATTTACATACATGTGTGTGGGTGAAAGGACATTTTGCCATTATTTCTTCCGCTGCGATTGATGCTGCTGCTGTTGCTTTTTGCCATGTTCGCTTATTGATTTTTCGCCATTTACGTCCTTGTTCCGATTCTTGTTATTATGCACACCGCTTTTGCAAGCACCGAAGTAAACAAAAACAAACATAGATCGCAGGCACCTTCGTTGTGTGACAAAAACAAAGAGGGTAAGATTTGCTTGGGTGTTTTGTGAATTAAGGAGAAAAACAGAAATGGTAAAGGAGTTCTTCAAAAGAGAAGGMAATTGCAAAATAAACAGAGCAATTGTTTTTTATGTTTTGTTGTTTACTTTGTAGCATGTGAGGAGAAATATGATAGAAGGAAAATGCGTAAAAATTACGCTTTGAAAAAGGAAAATAGCAGCGAAAAACATGATAATTCCTAATACAAATTAGTGACGTCATATATATCTATATCGTCATACAGTTACATAAAAAAACATAAAAATGCTTTAATTTTTCAGTTAAATATTTTAAGACACATTTTTTAAATATCAATRTTTCTTTAGCAAGATAGTTCAAATAAAATAGTTGCCAATTGTCATCATTTAATTTGTTAAATATCTTTATTCAAAATATAATGTTTATTCAAAATAGTCAATCGCTTTTGCAGATATCAGGTATATAGAAATCTACATTATTTATTATCGATAAGCGAATATTAATCGAAAATCATTTACACCTTCCATGCAGTAATGGCAACACTGWTTGCACTTAAGCAAGGCTGCAAAAAATAAATAAAAGCATCGATATATCAATATTTTTGTATATTTCATTTCAATAAATTACTTTAACATATATAGACGAAACTATTTTCATTTTGCGTGCATAAAAATWCTGTGAGAAAATACCCTTGTGTGATAGGGAATGTCAATGCACCTAAAAAGCATACAAATGACGCTTGTTGGGCTAGCTGCTCGTAAACTTTCTATAAAAAAGCGGTAAATTACACGTTGTTTCRTATAAAATGAGTTTATAATAAATTATATTGTGTTTCTTTTAGTAATGCCACACTGGCGGCTGCTTTCCCAAATGGTGTACGTTGTCAGAAATGCTTACAACTTGGGCACTGGTCCTATGAATGTAAAGAGAAACGTAAATATGTGCATCGGAGTTCACGTACCAAACAACTTAAAAAGCGCCTGGCTGAAAAAGCAAGCACTGAAAGTAATGACAGTGGCACAACCAGCGCATTAACAAAATCGGCAAAAGCTAAGCGCTCAAAGCGTACACGAATTTCTTCCGGATCTTCAGCAGGCAATGCTTCGAAGGGATCAAATTCAGACACACAGTCTTCCTCAGGCTCAAACGATAGTAGTTCATCGGATTCAGACGAAGATTCTTCTAGTGATAGCAGTTCTTCAGATTCAGATAGTGATAGTGATAGTAGTAATACCGGTTCTGGCAGTGATTCTAGCGAATCAGGCTCAAGTAATTCGAGCGATTCAAGCGACTCATCCAGCTCCGATGAGGCACCAAAGAAAAGAAGCCGACGTACCTCTAGTTCATCCAGTGATGATGACATTTGATTGAGACATTAACATAACAAGACATATTCTGAGAAGAACCATAATTAGCTTTAGTAGTATAAGTTGGTAATGCAAAACACTGGTGTTGTGTTGTTCTTGAAACACTTCATACAGATGTATTTATATAGCTAAACAATTATTTAGTCACACAGTAAACTTGCAGGATATTTCAKTTATATGGTTTTCCTTAAAACCATAGATTATACCGGGTAAAAATAGAATAATAATGAATGTATAATTGTCCAACTTTAAACTACTTGTATACATACACCCCAAATGATTTCATTTCAACCATACTTGCTTCAAACTATAAATATGTGTTTTAGGTTGAATTCTCAAAATTTTAGATATTACATTATTAAACTTAGTAAACATCAACTAAATAAATAGAAAAAACGAATTTGCATATTCAATAAGCTATTATTTATATAAATATTGAAATATATACGTAATTGAATCAATCACATATTGTATGTGCATGTGTAATAAAAATGTGTAAGTATTTCGGAAGAGCTCGAACTTAGCCTTCAATTTATTGTAATTTCATTGACTTATTTACCATGTTGTTACTAAATGTCATCGTCCTCCTCTTCTTCTATGTTATTGTTACATGATGCTGTGTTTAAATATATAATCTGTTTATTAATAATAACAGCATCGATTTGCACGTTATCCTGGGTGGCTGGTTCGCATGTCATGTTATGTGGCAATTGAGCGAGTAATAAACTGGCTTGGGAACTGGTACTGGGCTGCTCTTGTTCGCATGGATTATTTAGATTTGCTGATTGCATACTTTCACTTAAAACTGCTGCTGCTCCTGCTTTTAACTGCAATTCTTCTACCTATTAAGTTAAAATAGTTAATTAAATATATAAATAAAACACAGGTATTGAATTTTACTTTCAGTTCGTTTATGGCTTCATTAACTCTTCCCAGTATGGTTTCCAGCTCTTTTTGAATCTTACAGAGCTGCAGCTGTTCCTTTTGTATTCTTGCATTGTTTACAAAACTTGCATTCGAGCTTCTTCCCATTTTAAAACATTAATTTAATCGAGCAACGATTTTCTTTTGAACTCTATTCTCTTTTTTGGTAATTTTCTGTTCTCTTCTCTTCCAAAGGCTAAACAGCATTGCCATACAAAATGTACTAAAAAACATTTGGATCTATTTAAATTTAATTTACGAACGCTCATCAAAACAGAACAGTATTAGTTTTAGATGTATATATCAAAGTATATCTTGGTTGGTTATCAGACTATCGTTAACAATAAAATATTTTACTTAAAAAAATTTCAGTAAACTTTGAAAATTTTCCCCTTTGTCGTTTGATAGTTTGTGATATTTTCTTATAAATAATGGCAGCACTATTAAACAGCTGTTTAGTTCATTCATATTAAAATATTTTCTCGTATTAAACCAAACAAAATTCGAGTACAACTAGTAAAATTTCGCTCTGTGCTCTGAAATCTACGTTTSAAAATATATTGAAGATCAACTAAATCATTAAATGCATATTAGAAAATTATATAAATAATAAAACAAGCTGGACTCGACAACAAAAATATAAGGTGACGAACAATACGAGAATCAAAGTCCAACAATTTATTGGATTAACAAAATTGCTGGTAAAATTTTTAGATATAAAAGCGAAGGTAGGTAGAAAATAAAGTCTTTAGATCAGCATTAGCGATGCTATTCACGGTACCGTCTTTATTTAGATACAGTTTCAAGCAATGACAGAACAAGAAGCAATGCTTCAACAAAGTAGTGGTATAGCCTCGACATATATGACACCACAAGAGGAGGCATTACAAGCACTTTGCAAAAAATTGTTGAAATCTAGATTCTTTCGCGGCTACTATGAAGAACGTCGTTTCGTGGATACTGTAGCGGGCTACAGAGATATAATTGATCTACATCGTGGGGAACGTGATTTGGAGCTTTTATTGCTAGACATTAGAAGTAAATTACAAATTTTCTACCAAAATTCACCACAGGTATGGATTGGCATAACGCACGGTGCTTTTATGGGAATAACCCCTAAAACGAAAACACTCGATACACATATATGGGTACAACTACAGGAAGTTGCATTTGGCCATTATTGGTTCAGTATAAAAAGCATACGCTTTCGAAAGAATGAAGTGATATTAAAGTTAAATGTTGTGCGCAATGTAGAAGCTGATTCACTCATTGAAAGAACTCAAATATCAAAGTCTACGCTAATGTACGCTAAAGATGATTCAAAAACAAAACAAACGTTAACAACAGACAATTCAATAAATGCGTTAAATAATGCGACAAAACTTAGCGATGATATGATGAGTGGTCCTACCGTAATACAACCGGAAGTGCTTCAAATCGGCTATGAAGACTTTGTTAATATTGTGCGCAACTGGGGTACAACCATAAAACACAAAGTATATGATTTTATGTCCAATGATATMAACAAAGATAATATAAAAGATTTCCTGCAATTTCTGGGCTTAGTTGTGATCTCCCTGCTGACCGGCAGTTTTGTGGCTATCAAGTACTTAGGTACTTTTGCGTTGCGTTTTATGTTTGAATTTACCCGCTTTATGCATGTAATGACACCAATCATACTAAAAATAATAGAGGCGATAAATAAAATTGTTGGTGGATTTTATATATTGCTAGCAATGATTTGGAAGGATGCATTTATGAAAAGGAGAATGACAGCCACACAACAAYTGCAAGATTTTAATGTACAACCGCCCAAAGAATTGAAAGCTATAGAATACAATCGACAGAAATACGAAATAGATTTTGAATATAATATACGGCAACCGCCTGTGATGCGCCCCAGTATGGGTCCCATTACAGAGTTTGAACGAAAATTTCAATAAAGTGATATTCCGCCGTCGAATTTTAGAACAAATTTATTTATGAATCTTCATTTTAGCACTAAATAAATTGCCTGATAATAGAATATTTCATAATTTAACGAAAGGCGAGCATTCCTTATAATGTATATAAATAAAATGCACCGATACGGAAACGGCAAAATAATTAAAAAAAATGTGCTGAGAGAATTAACAAAAAATTTAAAAGAAATGTTATATTTTTAGTACTCAACTACTGGCATTATTTGTATAAAGTATAAACGTGATAAAGTTATTTAACATCATCGCTAACAAATGGTGTTGAAGTGTTAGTGCTGAAATGAACGCTAGATGAACTWAAGTTGAATGAATACATATTTGCAATCACAATAACAAGTATTTTAGAAAAGCTAAAGATGGATTTTATCTGTTTTAGACAAATAATTATATCTTTGCTTATATTTTACTTAAATATTTATTGTAGTTATTCAACTGTAGTTAGCCTAACGTTCATTTTGGTTCAATTTATTATATTAAAAAGAAATTAATTGTGAATCACTTTGAAAATGTAATAAAAATATATACATACAAATAAAAAAGCAACAATTGTAAATATAAAATTATTTATGGCTTATTTTGTAAAATTGTGGACTCTATGYACGTGCATCAAACGAATTCGGATTATATATTAATATTGACCTACTACTACTTACCGAGCCAAACGCCAAATAACTGCGTTTCTGCACTGTTTTGATTATTGTAATGTACAACGACGGCCTTTTCCGCACTTTAAATTTAAATATTGTATTTACGTATATAATTTCTATACATTTATATAATCTTAAAGATCTTAAAATAAAAMACTCACGCAAAGTTATATTGGTTTATTTATTTAAAATTTTAACAATAAATGCATTTGTACGAGAAGTATTAACCATAAAGAGAACTGTTTTTTATTTAACAAAATATTTATAACATTTATTTTTATCAAAAATAAGCGTTGCAATAACG